TTGCCTTAAATCTGTCATCCATCATCCTTCATCTCTTTCTTGCCCAAGCTAAATGGGTAAAAGCTGAAAGACTGATCAGAAAGGAAAAAACAATGTTATCCATATATGGGATGCTCTGAAATTACATCTCTCGATCTATTTTATGAATTTTTTTTAGGAAAACAAACGAATGGCATATTTATAAACAGCTGTACAAAAATCTGATAGTGTCCATATGAAATCCTTACATTTACTTATTTGGGGATTTTCATTAAAATGTATGTAGTAAATAAAGAAGCTGTTTAAAGGAGAGGAACAAGCCTTTTAATAAGGAGTGAGTAGAAGGAAACAGCTGTTTATTTTCATTTTATATCTTATTGCAAAAAAAAAACTCAAGGTATGAACGATCATTAAAATGAAGAAAATTTATATTAGACATGGTTTTGTGCTGTGGTATAATATGCTTTATTTGAAGCTTAAGGGAAAACTATACTAAATACTTTGATTTTTTTTTAAAGAATACCACTTACCTTTACATAAGCCACCCATAGGTTACAAAAGTGCTATTTTCTGGTTTATTTTAAGACTCTAGATGCATGTCTTCATCATCTAGTACAAACCACATTATTTACAGTGTTTTGTGAACATCTTAAAGTCTCCTTAGAAATAATCAGTAGCCTCCATGGAATCCTTTGTTTTATTCTGACCACTGTCCTGTTTTTCTTTCAGGTTGATTTACAAATGAAAGGACATATACATTCTGATTTTTTTTTTTTTTTAATTTACTCTATGAAACTTTTAAATTTTTTTTTGTTTGTTTTGTTTTGGAATAACTTGGACTGTGACAAAGTGTGGATTTCATCAGTTCTGTCATATTCCTCCTTAAATAAGTCATACTGTAACAGGCCATTTTCAGTTCTTTCAGCTTGAGAAATGCCAACTGTGTTCTTCCCTTTTGGTTTTCTATCACCAGGTCTTTGCACATTTCATTATAAGACTTTATCTTCTCGAGCCACCATTTGAAATCTTCTGTTCAACTCCTTTAGTTCATCATTTCTTCCATTCGCTTCCATTTAGCTACTCTGTGTTCAAGAGCAAGTTTCAGAGTCTCTTCTGGCATCCATTTTGGTCTTTTCTTTCTTTCCCATCTTTTTAATGACCTTTTTTCTTCAGGTATGCTATCCTTGATGTCATCCCACAGTTCCCCTGGTTTTCAGTCATTAGTGTTCAGTGCATCAAAACTATTCTTGAGATGGTCTCTAAATTCAGTTGGGATATACTCAAGGTCGTATTTCGGCTCTTGTGGACTACTTTTACTTTTCTTCAGCCTCAACTTGAACTTGCATATGAGTAATTAATGGTCTATTCAAGCCTCAAGTTGCAATATTGAAGGCTTCTGTGGAAAAAATATTGAATGACGCAAGAAGCATCAAAAGAAAATGGAAGAAATAGAGTCACTGTTCCAAAAAGAATTTGTCAACGTTCAGCCATTTCAGGAGGTAGCATATAATTAAGAACAGATGGTACTAAAGGAAGAAATTCAAGTGGCACTTAAACATTGGCAAAAAACAAGGCTCCAGGAATTGACAGAATGCCAATTAAGATGTTTCAACAAATGAATGCAATTCTGAAAGCGCTCACTCATCTATGCCAAGAAATTTGGAAGACAGCTACCTGGCCAACTGACAGGAAGAGTTCCATATTTGTGCCCATTCCATAGAAAGGGGATCCAACAGAATGCAGAAATTATCAAATAATATCATTAATATCACACCCAAGTAAAATTTTGCTGAAGATAATTCAGAAACGGTTGCAGCAGTACATCGACAGGGAACTACCAGAAATTAAAGCCAGATTCAGAAGAGGACAAGGAACGAGGGATATCATTGCTGATGTCATCTGGATCTTACTGAAAGCAGAGAATACTAGAAAGATGTTTTCCTGTGTTTTATTGACTATGCAAAGGCATTCAACTGTGTGGATCATAACAAATTATAGATAATGTTGCAGAATGGGAATTTCAGAACACTTAATTGTGCTTGCGAGGAACCTGTACATAGACCAAGAGGCACGCGCTCATTCTAACAGAACAAGAGGATACTACGTGGTTTAAAATCAGGAAAGGTGTTTGTCAGGATTGTTTCCTTTCACCATACTTACTCAGAATGCTATGCAAATACTCTGAGAAGCTGGACTATATGAAGAAGAATGCGGCATCAGGATTGGAGGAAGATTCATTAACAACCCGCGATATACAGATAACACAACCTTGCTTGCGGAAAGTTAAGAGGACTTGAAGCACTTATAGATGAAGATCAAAGACTACAGCCTTCAGTATGGATTACACCTCAACATAAAGAAAACGAAAATCCTCCCAACTGGACCAATAAGTAACATCATGATAAATGGAGAAAAGACTGAAGTTGTCAAGGATTTCATTTTATTTGGATTCACAACCCATGTCCACAGAAGCAGCAGTCAAGAAATCAAACAACATATTGCATTGGAAAAATCTGCAGCAAATGACCCCTTTAACGTGTTAAAAAGCACAGATGTCACTTTGAGGACTAAGGTGCACCTGACCCAAGCTATGGTATTTTCAGTCACCTCATATGCATTCAAAAGCTGGGCAATGAAAAAGGAAGAGTGAAGAAGAATTGATGCTTTTGAATTATGGTGCTGGTGAAGAATATTAAATATACCATGGACTACCAAAAGAAGGAACATATCTGTCTTGGAAGAAGTACAGCCAGAATGCTCATTAGAAGTGAGAATGGTGAGAATTCGTCTAATGTACTTTGGACATGTTACCAGGAGGGATAAGTCCCTGAAGAAGGCCATATGCTTGGTAAGGTAGAGGGTCAGCGAAAGAGAGGAAGACCCTCAGCGAGATGGATTGACACAGTGGCTTCCATGATGAACTTAAGGATAACAACGATTGTGAGGATGGCTCAGGACTGGGAAGCATTTCGTTCTTTCATACATAGGGTCACTATGAGTCGGAACTGACTCAAGGGCACCTAACAGCAACAACAACATATCAGACCATACTATATCTCATCGCATAGCCTATTCTGAGCAACCAGAACTTACGCCAACCTTATAAATTATATTTACATGTGTGAAGTGTTATATGATTTATAAACTAAATGTATATACATACGTTTGTGTACGTGTGTGTATATGTATGTATGTGTATATAAAATACACATACACAGGTATAGAAAGAAATAAAAGAATGCAGTTATAGCACATATCATATAAATCCAGTCAGCAGTTTGGCAAAGCACAAGGAAAATATTTTCATGATGGATTAGGTTTTTTTAGCAGCTCCGTAATTAGCCATGTAATCCCACATAATAGTTATCTTTTATCAGTCTGGCTCAAATAAGAACCATCTTTAAGAAACTGGAACATAGTTGTGGAGAACTGCCTGGAGCAAAATTTCTGTTTAAAACAAAGTGTACTTTTTAGAAGTTAATAGCTATATGCTTTCATCAACATACTGTTGAATGCTTGTGATTACTGATGTTACATACCTTTGGTTTTTGGGTAAATTGGGACTATAAACTACTACCCAATTTTTTGGTAAATTAGAACTCACTAATAGAGGAAAAAGTAAATAAATAAATCAAAGAAATTTAAACCCAGAAGATCCCTGAGCCTTTAGATATGTCCTAGGTCTTTACTTTGATCTGTCACTCCTGAAGCTGATGTGAGTTGTACCTTTTTCGGTCTGAGAAGAAAAAGTGAGACTGTGGATAGAATGAATTCTATTGAAGTAGAACACCAGACCAAGAAAAAGTATTAATTGTATACCCATTTTGTATCTGGAATCCATGTGTAAAAGTTCACACTAGATCTGGACTTCAGCTTTTTCATTGTTATATTGAATACAGCACCTCCTTCTCCTTTCTTTTTGACATTGATGCTACTCTTTGTAAAATATGTAACATTGTTTATAGATAAATCATTTTAAAATACACTTTGGTGATTAGAAGCAAAGGTGTAATTGAGGGAAATAAGGTAAGGTCATTTTGTCAAGGATTTAATAAAATTTCTTGAGAGATTGAAAAATTAAAAACTAAAAAATATAAGACAGACATTATTCTTAGAGGTCTTTTGCAGCAAATATTGGTTTGAAAAATTGATCTGTTGCTTTATTGAAGGAGGGAATTGAGGTTATTAATTAAGGGAAAACATTTATTACATTGTTATCATTTCAATCTCAAAAAGAAAAAAAAGTTGTTCAGCTCTTTGAAATATGTATCAACTTTGTTCTGTTAATAAAAATATGATAGTTACTTGCCCTTAAGTAGATTGTTACACAATCTTGTTTAGATAAGTACATAGTTAGTAAACTGGCAAGAATAGTAACTTGTTGAAAGGATGGATAAAATATTCTACACATTCCACACTAAGCCCTATTAATTAGAATAGAATTAGAATCAACAACAGAAATTTTCAGATGCATACTGTGTGCCTACTTTCTGATTAAGATGATGTTAATTCTTACTTCTGATATGCCAAATGGAAAGCCTTAGATGAAAATAAATTAGAACTGAACCAATGCCTGTATTTATATATATAGATACATATATTTAAAAAAACTTTGATGCATAATTATTCTTTGTGACTGTTATTCCTTATTTAAGTATCTGTTACACTTTCTGAGCATGCAATAAATGCAAAAACAGATTTAATACCATTAGAGAAAATATATCTGTAGAATTTAATAAGAAAATATCATTACAAACATATGTAATTTGTGACTCAAGAAATGAACTGATAGCTCTGAAGGCAGAAGTCCTGGCATAGCTTTTTGATATGTTTGTTTAATAAATTGCTGTAAGTGATTAAATTAGTAACAAAACAGAAAATCAACTATTGAAACACGTTTTCTTCATGAGGAGATTATGGTCATTCAAGATGTAAATAAAACTATAATTTATGTGAATTCAGTGTCTTATTTGAGGTAATTATAAAAATGATGATGGTCTTAAACTTTGTTATCATTTCAGAGTATCTAACTGTGTTCTCTCAGATGATTGCATTCCATGATCCAGAGCTGAGTAATCATCTCAATGAGATTGGCTTTATTCCAGATGTAAGTACTTGGTGTGTTAATAAAACACAAGGTAAATATAAATAAATCAATAAAGCACAAAATGGCAGCACAAAAGAGTGTGTTTTTAAAAAATTTTGTTGTCATAAGAAGTCCATATCTGAACAAACTACTGCTAAAAATTATAGCTTTCTGTTATAGAGTTTGCGTGGTTATTTTCTATGTTCTCACTTTAAATAAAGGGAAAGTATCTTATTTTTCTTAATAAATCATTTTTGAAAAGCCAGTTAATCAAGAGGGCAGAGCAAGATGGTAAAATGAGTGGATGCCCCCATTTACTTCCCCAGCAACTAACGCACTGAACAACGAATAAAAAGCAGCAGAAAGTGAAATTTCAGAACTCCAGATGGGAGATAAGGTGTTAGAGAGTTGGGGTGAGTCCAGAAGCAGGGAAGATGAAGAGATGGGACAGCACAGAAGCTGGGAGAACCTACCCACTAACATCTGGTGCACTTTTTGGGGCGGGGCTCGGCAACACCCCAAATAGTAAACACAGAAAGGGAGCTAATCTGAGGAAGCCTAGCCTTATTTTAAGGAAGCAATGATTGGCCATGGAAATTCACAGGCCTTGCAGTTGGGAAGGGGCAAAGGGAAACTGTGGTGCTGCGAGAGAGTGCTGTTGAATCTCACTGAGGCCTGAGACAGATAGGCACTAGGACCAGGAAGAATTTCAAGGGCAGCAGGGCTAGGGGAATACTTCAGACAAACGGACAACACAGGGATAAATGGCTGGCCCCATGCCCTAAGTGAGACATGGTAGGAGAGCTTGTGCAGGGATGGCCATGAGAGAAAGACATAGAGAGCCCCCCACCTTTGCCACAGGAAAGTCAAACCTCACCACTTACATCAACGTCTGCGACCAGATAACCGCCCCCACACACATGCATATTGAATTCCAGAGATCAAGCATCCAGAACATGCGAAACAACACTGAAAAAAAATTAAGGATAAGAGTGCCCTCTAGTGGTTCGCAGGAGAAGATAACAGGCCCAATGCCACCAGGTCAATTCTGACTCACAGAGACCATGTATGGCAGAGTGGAGCTGCCCCTTGGAGTTTCCAGGGTTGTGAGTCTTTGAGGAGGCAGGGTGCCTCATCTTTCTCCCACGGAATGGCTGGTGAGTGCAGGCTCCAGTCTTTCAAGTGGCAGCTGGGCACTTGGCCCCTGTGCCACCAGGGTGCCCAATCAGAAAATTTTTCCGCAATAGCCAGAATACAAAATTTAAATTAAAAAAAGAACAAAATGGCCCAAGTTCAACAAAAAATAGTAAAACACACAAAATCACAAGAGAAGGACTAATCAAAAGGAAAACATGAAGAGGAAATTTCTCCTATGGAGGCCAGACTAATGGAATAAATTGGAAATTTTCAGACTATGGTTCTAATATGTTTAAAGAAAGCAAAAAGCACACAGAAACCAAACTAGTGGATATTGGGAAACAAATGGAGAAACAAAATGAGAGACTCAACAAGGAGACTGAAAGGGAAAAAAAGAGAACTACTGGAACTGAAAAAGCAAGAGAAACACTCAACAATAGAGTTGAACAGACAGAAGACAGAATAAATGAACTAGAAGATAAAATAACTGAACTTATTAAGTCTCAAGAGAAAAGAACAAAGAGAAGAGAACAAACCCAAATGGAAATATGGAATTCAATTAAGAAATCTAACATGAGAATTATTGGAATCCCAGAGCGCCATGACTACAATAAAGGCATAGAAAAAATTTTCCAATACATAGAATTTCCCACACCTAAACAGAGAACCAAGCCTGCAAATACAGGAAGTTACACAAACCCCAATTTGAATGAAAACAATTGCCAGCAAAGAACTCTTTACCCAGCAAAGTTGTCGTTCAGAAATGAGGGGGAAATCAGGACATTCCCAAACAAACAGAAGCTCTGGGAATTTGACACTACCAGACCAGCTTTGCAAGTACTGCTCAAGGGAGCGCTCCAAACAGAAACACAAGAGCATTTTACAAATACTTGTATCTATATATGGGAAAATAAAAAATAAGACAGAGAGAGAGATCTCAAAAAAATGCAACATGGGCCATCATAAGGACCAAGTATATAGTATTTTAGGGAATGAACTCAATAATTAAATCCCATAAACAATGCTGTATCAAGTTTGTATGAAATAAGTACAAAGTAAACTTACCGAACCTAGGTTGTATATTGATGTTAAAGGAGACACACCAACAAAAAACGGAGGAAGGAGTATATCAGGAATAGATTTATTATGTTAATGTTCTATGTTAACTGTTGTTCATAAGTTAAACATTGTTGCAACAGTAAGTTGTATAATGTAATATATGTGGTAAACAATAAGAAATCACTGAAATAAAACATTCAGAAGGGAGAAGGCGAAAAGCCTCATCACAAGAAAGAAGCCAAATACAAACAAACACAGAAAAATCAGAATTAAAAAAGATACAAAACACTCAAAAATCAAATAGCAAAATGAGTGCAGTAGACACTTCGTTTTCAATAATAATCTTAAATGTAAATGTTCTAAATGCCCCACCCAAAAGGCAGAGAGTGACAGAATGGATTAAAAAAAAAAATGATCGATCCTTTTGTTGTCTACAAGAAACACACCTTAGACATAAGGACACAAACAGACTGAAAATAAAAGGATGGAGAGAAATGTTCCATGCAACCAGTAAACAAAAAAGAGCAGGAGTGGCCATACTGATATCAGATAAAATAGACTTTAAGTCAAAATCTATTAAAAGAGATAAAGAAGGACATTACATAATAATAAAAGGGTCAATCCAACAGGAAGACATTACAATTATAAATATGTACACTTCTAATAGCAATGCTCCAAAATACATCAAAAAATGCTGACTAATATGAAAGGAGAAATAGACAGCTCCACAATAATAGTAGGGGACTTCAACACACCACTTTCAATTATAGACAGAACATCTAAAAAGAAGATCACTACGGACATTGAGACCTTAAATTATAAGCCAATTGGACCTAATGGACATATATAGAATACCCAGCATCAGAACAATACACATACTTTTCCAGAGCACATGGATCATTTTCCAGAATAGACCATATGCTAGGACACAAAACAAGTCTCAACAAATTTAAAAAGATTGAAATCATACAAAGCATATTCTGTAACCATGATGGTATGAAGCTAGAAATCAAAACCAGGAAAAATAATAATAATAATAAATGGAAACTAAATAATACAATATTAAAAAACTATTGGGTCATAGAAGAAATCAAAAGTGAAATTAAAAAATTTCTAGAATCAAATAAAAATAAAAACATGGCATATCAAAACCTTTGGAACACAGCAAAAGCAGTACTTAGGGGAAATTCATAGCAATAAATGCCTACATTAAAAAAGAAGAATGATCCAAAATCATTGACTTAAACTGACAACTTGAACAAATAGAAAAGAAGAGCAAAAGAAGCCAAAAGCTACCGGAAAAAGGAAATAGTAAGGATAAGGGCAGAAATAAATGAAATAGAAAAACAATAGAAAGGATTACAAAACCAGAAGTTGGTTCTTTGAAATGATCAATAAAATAGACAAATCACTGACTAGACTGACAAAAGAAAAAAACCAGAAGAGGCAAATAACCAAATTAAGAAATGAAATTGCTGACACTACAATCGATCCAACAGAGATAAAGAAGATCATAACAGATTACTATGAAAATTGTACTCCTTCAAATTTGAAAACTAGATTAAATGGACAAATTCTTAGAAACACAGTACCTACCCAAACTAACACAGAGATAGGAAATTTAAACATACCCATTAAAAAAGAAGAGAATGAAGATGTCATTTTAAAAAACTGCCAACAAAAAAGAAAAAACTCAGGACCAGATGGCTACACTGAAGAATTCTACCAAACACTGAGAGAAGAGTTGACACCAATCCTACTCAATCTTTCCAAAAACAGACAAGGAAGGAAGACTACTGAACTCTTTCCATGAAGCTAGCATAACCCTGACACCTAAATCTGACAAAGACACTACAAAAAAAGAAAACTACAGACCAATATCCATTATGAACAAAGATGCAAAATTTTTCAACAAAATTCTAGCCAACACATAACATAGTTTATAAAGAAAATGTTCTACATTCTACTTTGCTGAGTAGTGTCTGAGGTCTTCAAAGCCTGTGAGCGGCCATCTAAGATACTCCACTGGTCTCATCCTTTTGGGAGCAAAGGAAAATGAAGAAAACTAAGGATACAAGGGAAAGATTAGTCCAAAGGACTAATGGACCACAACTACCACGGCCTCCACCAGACTGAGTCCAGTACAACTAAATGGTGTCCAGGTACCACCACTGACTGCTCTGACAGGGATCATAATAGAGGGTCACAGACAGAGCTGGAGAAAAATGTAGAACAAAATTTTAACTCAGAAAAAAAGACCAGACATACCGGCCTGACAGAGACTGGAGAAACCCCGAGAGTATGGCCCCCAGACACCATTTTAGCTCAGTAATGAAGTCACTCCTGAGGTTCACCCTTCATCTAAAGATTAGACAGGCCCATAGAACATCAAGGACATCATACTTGAAGAAAGCAAGAGGTCCTTAAAAAGACAGGAAAGAAAGAAAAGACCAAAGTGTATGTCAGAAGAGACTCTGAAACTTGCTCTTGAACATCGAGTAGCTAAAGCAAAAGGAAGAAATGATGAAGTAAAAGAACTGAACAGAAAATTTCAAAGGGCTACTCGAGAAGACAAAGTATTATAATGACACGTGCAAACAGCTGGAGATAGAAAACCAAAAGGGAAGAACCTGCTCAGCATTCCTCAAGCTGAAAGAACTGAAGAAAAAATTCAAGCCTCTAGTTGTAATAGTGAAGGATTCTAGGGGTAAAATATTAAACAATGCAGGAAGCATCAAAAGAAGATGGAAGGAATACACAGAGTCATTATACCAAAAAGAATTGGTCGACGTTCAACCATTTCAAGAGGTATCATATGATCAGGA